CCCGTCGCAGACCCGGCTGGGGACGAGGCCGCGGGTCGGCACGCCGCTGCTCTGCTCTTCCCTTCCAGCTCGCCTGACCGTGTCCTACTGCCGGAGCAGCGGCCCTGGAGGGCAGCACGTTAATAAAGGTGAGGAAGAGACTTATGAGGGAAAAATCCTAACCTTTACCTTGTTTCTTTATACTTTGTGGCGAAACAGTTGGAGCTTGAAATGAAAGAGCACCTTTGTGCTGCCCGATGCTAATTTTTCATTATCGTTACCCTGCGTTTTAACAGAACTTCTAAGTCTTTACAGTGCTCGAGACCAGTGGTACCAGATTGGATTCTCCTAGAAACACTCTTACTGGGATCGTTGCTGCTACACGTGTCACACTAAACACCAGTTGTCTGTTCTCGTTGATCCAGCGTACAACAAGCCATCTGGATTCCGAGATGTCCCAGTGCAATAAATTCTCAGCTTCATTCAAATAAACTGAAAATACTTCCTGTTCTGCCATGGCAGTAGCAATAAATCTGGTAGTGTGTAGAAAGGCAAATACCATGACAAACTATAATTTAGAGTTTGTCTTGTAGAGTGATGTGCAAAAACATAGCAAGAAAAAAAAAAACCTGTGATCTTTCAGGAAATTAATACTGGAATCATCCTATGTTCAAAGCCAGCAGTGTACAGACTGAAATATCTCATAAAACTCGGGAAGATGAGCCATTACATTGAAAAAAGATCCCATATTTCCCCCCCAGTGAATAGCAAGGCGGAAGTTCGGTTCCACCTGGCATCAGCAGACTGGATCCCAGAAGCTGTGAGACAAAAGATGGCATCGATGGTAACTACCCTTCCCCTTCCAGCCGCGGTTTAAGTGTCACACTTTCAGCCAGAACACGACAAATTTAACGAGGTTTCAGCCATCACATCACTTTTTCCCCTCTTTAGCACAGGAACAAGATAAACCGAGCTGGTGAGCTGATTGTGAACTCTGAAGAGAGCCGCTACCAAATGAGGAACCTGGCAATTTGTTTAGAAAAAATCAGAACCATGGTCACGGAGGCTACCGAGAAGCCCAAGGTGGTGTCTAAGGAGACTACACAGCAATTCATAGAGAGGTATCTTTATTTAAATGGCCTTTATTTGAGATGGATTCACATTATCATGTTCCATGATTTAGTTCGCAGCCTCTTTAAACAATCTTGATCATACTCATTTGGATTTGCTTTTAAAAAAAAAATCCAACAAACATCACTGGTCCATTAGAGCTTATGTGTTTTCCTGCGTGGCATCCCCAGAACAGGGACTGTCTGTGGACATTTGTCTGCTCACCGAATCTACATTATAACTGTGCTCAAAGTTGAATATTTAAATGTTTTCTTTGATACTAAAGGATCATTTTGTTTTGTTTTAGGGTAGAAAAAATGAACCGTGAACGACTACGACAGAAAAAGATACACTCAAATATAAAACAGAGCAGGAAGGCAGACTTTGACTGAGAACAGCGGAGATCAAAGTCCTCAGCGAACCATTTTTTTAAAGAGATGGCGTTGGCAGCTGTAGATGATGCTAACTCATGAGCTATATTGAATAAAAATGGTCTAAGCATGTAAATAAAAATATTTAATACCTCCTTTTGAATCTCCTGATGATACACTGTGACACCTTGTCAATCATTTTGCAGAAAAATTAGTGTTCTTGTTTGAGAGAAACTAAAAATTCAGATTTGTCAGCTACTTTTTTAATTCTTTGTGTGCTTTATCCAGCCCCCTGCTCTATGAGAGCACCCTCTGCTGCTGAACACAAAAGCAGCAGTAGGTTTATGGGGAAAGAAAGGGAAGAGTAAAGGTGGTCTTAACTACGTATCTTAGTAGCAAATAGAGTAGTCATCATTTCAAGCACTTTCCTTCCATTTTAGTTGATTTTTTCCTAACCAAAAAAAGTGCATGTCATTTTATTAAATTAACCTAGAGCCGTGGCAGGAATTTGGCAGGAGACGGTCGCTCTGTTAGTGTTAAAAGACAAACCCCACCCTGTAAGTACAGGAGGCTCCTGGCCTTTGAGGTAGAACACCAGAAAACCTCAAACTAAGTCTTACGGCTTAACGAGCCCCTCGTTAGTGGGCTCAGTTTAAACAGACCAAAGTTCTGTGGAATAATGCGGATTTTGTCACCACCAGATCAGTTCACTGGGGGGGTCTCAAAGATGTCAAAATTGCACTTTTTTCATATTTTCACAGGGCCCCAGTGGCCTAATGGATAAGGCACTGGCCTTCTAAGTCAGGGATTGTGGGTTCGAGTCCCACCTGGGGTGAGGAGAGGCAGTTCTGTTTTAGGCAAGAACCAAATAAGAGGGGAAGTGCTCTCCGCTGGTCCCTCGGGTTTAATTGGGGTACAGTGAGGTGCGGCACTCATGCTTCTCCTACAGCCGGCACCTGGTCCCCTTTCGAAGGTGGACTTTTGAGTTCTGCCCTTACACCATCCAGCATTTACATCTGCAAAAAGCTGAAAGCTCAAATCCCACATTCTCCCCAAACCGGGCTGCTTGGGGGGCGGGGTGCAGGAGCACACCAATGCACCCCGACATCCTTGCCACGAAACCCTGCCCCAAGCTGTGTGCGCCCTGCCCAGCAAGAGGAGCAAAGATAAGAAACTCTTCTCCTGCCTAAAGCTTTTCTGCGGGGG